CATCAACCCGTCGCTCTACATTAGGTATCAATATTGTGGCTTTTCTGCTCTGAGCTTTTGCCCCTCACTGTAGAATCAGTTTGTCTATAGCCACAAATAACTTGCTGGATTGTTATTGGGAATTGCATTAAATCTATAGTTCAAATTAAGAAGAATTCAATATCTCGACAATATTGATGTCTTCCTATCCATGAACATGAAATATCTTACCTTTAGGGCATCGGTTTCAGTGGCTCAGCCTGTAATCCCAGCATTTTGAGAGGCCGAGGCAGGCAGATCACAAGCTCAGGAGATCGAGGACATCCGGGCTAACATGGTGGAAACTCCATCTCTACAGAAAATACAAAACATTAGCCGGGCATGGTGGTGGGGCGCTATAGTCCCAGCTACTCGGGAGGCTGAGGCAAGGAGAATGGCTCGTGAAACAGGAGGCAGAGCTTGCAGTGAGCCGAGGATCGTGCCCTGCCATCCAGCTGGGCGGACAGAGGGAGACTCTGTTCCAAAAAAAAAAAGAAAGAAATGAAAGAGAAAGAAAAAGAAAAGGAAGAAACAGTATATTTAGTTCTTTACTTGATTTATTTTGTCACGGTTTTATAGGTTTTTCCTCACACAGATCTTATACAGAATGTACTTTTATTATCATTGTCATCATCACTCATCTTCGTTTTAGTCACTGTATGCCTACACCAATAGGTCAATTTCAGTTTAAGTTTTTTTGTTGTTCTGTTTTCTTTTTTTTTGTTTGAGACAGGGTCTCACTCTGTTGCCCAGGCTGGAGTGCAGTGACGTGATCTTGGTTACTGCAGCCTACCCTCCCAGACTCAAGTGATTCGCCTGCCTCAGCCTTGCCGAGTAGCTGGGATTACAGGCACACGGCCACCCATACCTGGCTAATTTTTTGTATTTAGTAGAGACGCTGTTTCACCATCGTTGGCAAGGCTGGTTCTTGAAACTCCTGACCTCAAGTTTTCTGCTGCCATCTTGGCCTTCCCAAAATGCTGGGATTACAAAGCGTGAGCACCGCACCTAAGCCAACAGGTCAGTTTTAAACATTC